ATTAGTTTGAAAGATCATTTGTCTTATTTACATTTCCTGATAAACATTACTATTTGTAGTTGCATCACGATCGACTGGAATAAATGTCCAGTTTCCTCTACACATAGTTTGTAGTATGTGAGATGTGTGTGCAATGAATGGAATTCTCACTCAAATGCATAGTTAATCTTAAAGACCCAACTCTTTTCTCAGTCTTCTCCAAGAACAGTAGGCACAATTCTTGCTGATAAAATGCTCTTCTGGGGTAGTTTGCTGATGATGAGCATGACAATATATTGTCCACATTCACAAGCCACCATGTAGATATATGGAAATTAATAATCATATTAAATACAGGAGACACAAATCAACTGAAGAAGCTTCAGCATCTATTTAATAAAACTCGTCCTTCTGGTAAGAAGACTGTAACTTGCAGATAAACATAAGTGATGACTAATTTTTATTTGGATCAAATAGCTATTTGGTCTGAATTCATTTTACTCATTTGATTTCAAGTTTTCTTGTGTGAAGCCAATTGCTGTTCATGTTGGCTCTATTAGCAGAAGAAAAACTTTTCTTTTCTTTCTTTTTTTTTTTTTTTTAGAGACGGAGTTTCGCTCTTGTTACCCAGGTTGGAGTGCAATGGTGCGATCTTGGCTCACCGCAACCTCCACCTCCTGGGTTCAGGCAATTCTTCTGCCTCAGCCTCCTGTGTAGCTGGGATTACAGGCATGCGCCACCATGCCCAGCTAATTTTTTGTATTTTTAGTAGAGACGGGGTTTCACCATGTTGACCAGGATGGTCTCGATCTCCTGACCTCGTGATCCATACGCCTCGGCCTCCCAAAGTGCTGGGATTACAGGCTTGAGCCACCGCGCCCGGCCGAAAAACTTTTCAAATAGTTAAGTGACACAGTCTTATTTCAGTACCATCAGCTGTTACAAATAAAAATTTAAAGTATGGTTCACTTTTCTCTATCCATTTCATGGCAACAATGTAAACCATGTTGGCAGTTAATTCTGTCAATAATGAGACATCTGATTTTATTGTGCATGCCATTGTATTTTCAATAAATGTTTCAACAACTGTAGCTATATTTTTTGTTGCTTTGTGGTAATAATAAGAGTTTAAAAATTTGGTGGCTCATAGTATTATGCAGAAACAATATATTTACTAAACTAAAAGTATTTATGGAACTTGGTTGTAAATGCACTTGTTTGTGAAGCATATGTAACTCATACTTGCATGTCATCAGATATAATACAAATTAAAATAAATCTGTAATTATTAAAATGTGTACCTTTTTTGTAAAACTTACACCAAATAAAAAATAAAACCTTTAGCTTGGCAATCTGCACCTTGTTTTTTTTTTTTTTTTTTTGCTTGTTTGCTACCCATCCAGAAGTTAATTTAGATTATATTTATATATTTTAGACAAACAAGTTATTTTACAACATATAGTTTTGCCACGTAACTCCTCTTAAAAAGAAATAATTACTCACAATAGAAAATATGGTCAGCAGAAGGAAGAAAATGGGGTGAAGAGAAATTCTATGTAAGATCTCTTCTACAATTCTTAACTTTGAAATTCAGTCATTCAGAACTTAGTTGTAACATCTTGGAACATACTTTGAGAGACTGGGTTTTAAAATAAGTCTAGACAGAAAGGGAGCTTGTAGATAGTTTTGGAAAGCAAAAGACAGCTTAACTCATTTCTGTAACCCAGAGCTTGGAGCCATGCTGGTCTCCTGAACTCAACTGACCCAAAGTGCAGCTACATCGACTTATGTCCACATCAAAATCATATACGAAAAAATTTGTCTTGCTTTCACAGGTGTTTGCATCTTTGTATGAAGGCAAAGATTTTAGATAATCATATCTAGAAAACATTCTCATTGTATAATTTTAGAAGAATAATGAAGATTATCACCTAATGTCTGAAGCACATGATTTACAAAAATGATTGGAGAGAATGATAGCTTGACAGGCTATATAAATCAATTCTGGGGGAAGAAATAACTCAGCGATGAGCAGAAATCCTGGTAATAACTTTGATCTTGGGTGATGTCCACATAGTTTTAATACCTTTCTATTTTCTCAATGTGGGTGTTGATGAATAGGTTTGTGGTTTCCTTTGTCAACAAATAGATGAGTAATAACCTATGTATAGCTGCCAGCAAAGTTTTTATTAGATATAATGTTATTGACCTTTCAATTTACTAACATAGAGGATTTTAATTCATAAGACATAAAGGATGATAAAAGACTCTGAAGATCTATGTATACCACATTGAGTAGATACAAAAACAAAAAATCCTGTAAGTTAAAATTAATTTGAACTCCTTTAAAAATTCTTTCCAGGCACAGATTCCATGTATTTACTCACATAAACCTTTCTATATGGAACTACTTTATATGTAACAATTCAGAAATTCAGATGTAAAAGGTCAAATAATTACATCCCTACCATCATAGAAAAGAAAATAGGTATATGAAAATTATAGAAGATAAATTGTTCCTAAAGTTAGTTTACATAAATAATGATTAACCACTATAGTCCATGACAAATAACATCTAGACCATTTATTTTGTTGTTTATTTTTTACTGCCTAACTTATAGATATTTATAACTAGAAACAGCTTCCTTTCCATCCTAGACCTTTAGAAGAATGATGAACAGATTGTAGCACATGAATTTTAACCATATTACTCACACAAATGAATTTATGGAAATATAGTTTGACAGATTTTACAAATTAAGTTTGAAGGAGAAACAATAGGTTAAAATTAAATCATGCAATGATAGAGAACAATATTAATGTCTTCTACTTTTTCCTTTGAACTAGTGTTCCTTGTATTATTCTGTTCAAGTGACTCTCATTTCCTGTAATCTTATATTAATGACAAACTATATTCACATACTTTTCTATACATTTCACTCTGTCCCTCTCAATATAATGTTTATTTAATCATTATCTCCAATACTTTCCTCCTGTCTCTGGTGCAACCTGTTCTCTTTTCATTTCTTGAAATTTTTTGTTTGTTACAGGGTCTCTTATTTTACCTAAGCTGGCCTCAAGTTCCTGGGCTTCACTATCCACCTACTTCAGCCTCCCTTGTAGTTGAAACTACAGGTGTACCTCACCATGCTAAGCATCTCAGGACATTCAGTACTAGTTCCCACTTAGCATTTGAGAAAACATTCTGTTTTGTTGCCACCCTGTGTGACTAAGATGCCCTTTAACATATGAACTCTTAAGTGGTACATATATAATTCAGAAATGGGAAAAACACATCCTACAGTAACACATATCCCCAGGAATTTAGTTGCTTAGCACAACAAACATTTTTCTCTCATGCTATTTGTCTAATGCTGGTTGTACGCAGGACTCTGCTCATAAGCACTCAAGACTGAGGTTGATAGAGGCTTCATTTCAACACAAGCCTTCACAATGCCTAAGGCAGAGAGAAAGAAAAAATGAGTTCTGTGCTGGCTTTTAAAACTTTTTCATGGAAATGGCACATGCATTTCTACTCTTATGTCATTGCCGAGATTAAAACACGTTGCTATACCTAACTTTACGTGGGGATTGGGTAGGGAAGTGAAATTCTTCTCTTTTCCTGGAGAAAATGCTAGATTATTTATGATAGAGGTCACGTTCTATGTATTCCAACTTTAAAATCCATTCTCACATTTGTGGTAAGTAGAATCCTGAAAAGACTACAACATCCCCATATTGGAGTATACATAGCAAAATCTCCTTTCCTAAAGTGTGGGCAGAATTTATAAATATGATGTGACATCACTGCCTTGGTTAGGTTTCTCTAGATGGTAAAGGTAAAGAAATTTTGCAGATGTAATTAAAATCCCAAACAAGATGATTTTGAATCAATTGAAAGAACGATGATAATGAGGGAATCTGACAATCAGGAGAATTTATTATAATAGGGACTGGGCCTTTTCTGAAGAAAGAAACTTTTTCTAGCTATAACAAAAAAATGAGCTACAAAGTTGTGACATGGCCTGTGAGAAGAGTGTTTGGGAGAGGGCCTTGTCATAGGGAACTGCCTCTAGAAACAAAGAGATTTCTCTAGGTGACAGACAGCATGTATTGCAACCTAGGGAGATCCTGAACTTACCTGTGGCTAGACTCTAGAGCCACAGAACCTGTGAGATAGCAACTGTATGTTCATTTAAACCACAAAGTTTGTGGTAATTTGTTATACAATAATAGAAAAATAATACATAGTTCCATGTTTTCTTTTATATTGTCTCTATTCCATCTATTTTATATTTTTGGGAATTTACTGGATTATACCTTTATGTATATAATATATACAGTATGAATACTTTATATGTATAAAACATTCATAAAGAAGTAATTGAATAAATTCTCGCCAAAAATGTAGAGCAATTAAGAGACAAGATATTGTGCTATTGCCTAAACTGAAGTATATGGGTATGATTGTAGCTTATTGCAGGCTTGAACACCTGGGTTCAAGTGATCCCAGCCTCCTGAGCCTCAGCCTCCTAAATAGATAGGACTACAGGTATGCACCACCACACTTGGCAACTTTTAAATTTATTATAGAGACAGGGTCTTCTTATGTTTCCCAGACTTGCCTCAAACTCCTGGTCTCCAGTGATCCTGCTGCCTTGGCCTTTCGATAATGCACTAGGATTACATATCTATGCCAGCATGTCTAGCCTATTAGTGTAGTTTTAACAGCTATACCTTGATTGCATAATCCATCATTTCCTAAACATTAATGTATGCCTATTATGAGCTCAAAATAGTGATATTTGTGATATAGTACTTAAAAAAAAGCAAAGGCTAAACGTTTTTATAGTGAATAGGGTAAAATAAATGTGTTATTAATAAAAATAATAAAAGCATTTTCTGAATGTTGAGTCTTTTGTAAAGTGGAGTGATTTATTCACGTATTCATTTTTTCCCCTAATACATACTGATAATCTACTATATTGCACGATATAAGGAGCAGCTAAAGTTTTATAGAATAGGTGATGTGTGAGCTGGTCTTTAAAAGAAATTTGCATCTGCCATAAGATGAAAAGTACATGACCTTACATGTACACAAGTAATATAAGCCCTTTATGAAATGAAGGTCATCATAAATTGTCTATGATCTGAGGATAGAAAAGGCCAGAATCTCAGAGGTCATGGGGTAGGGGCCCTTTAAATCTTGATACATCAGTGACTTTGATGTTATTCTACCTGAATCTGAGGACAGCAAAGAAGGCTAGTTGAAGAAGCATGTTTTAAATTCCTTCTCAGGATTTATTCGTTATTCATTCTTCAGAGGACTTTAAATTTGAGAAAGATCTCCCTGAGGATAGTCCAGGTCCAGGTCCACAGGCAAGAATATGGCATGATATTCTCCAGCGAATTTTATTCTTGAGCTCCTGAGGCTTAGAGCAAGGAAGATAAAAGGCAATTGAGCAATACATATATATATATGTACACATACATACAGTAAATTTCACCCTAATTGTTTCTGGCTTTACCATAATTAAGAATGTAATAGGGAAGTCAGTAATAGGAATGAGGATAAGAACTAACCACCTCCTTTTCTTTTCCACCTTTGGTCAATTAAGAGAGAGCATGTTGTCAACAGCCTACACCTCCAATATCTAGTCAAGCAGGCTCCACTAGAGGTCAATTCACAATGGAACTATGTGTTCACATGATTAACCTACTCATTCACACCTGAGCCACACTGTAACTAGGAAATGGGGAAACTTTCACTTTTGCAGTCCATTATTACTCCTGTGAAAACAGGACTCACCATAGCATTATTGCTCTCAACCTGTAGTGACCTACTAACAGGAAATTAACTTTAGAAGAAAACAAGGTGGATTGCTAACTCTATTATTTACCATTTAATTTTATAAACTTATTTTCATCTTTACATGCACATTAACTCCAAATTATATTTTTAATTTTTAACATCTGAAAACAGGAGGTATATTAAATTTAACAAAAATGACTTAAAATTCACAACTGAGAAAGTTATTTAAAAGAAATTAAATCTAGAATTTCTTCTTATTATTGATATTTTTAGCATTCTTGTAGAGAAAATTCAAAATGAGGCCTCTGAATGTTTCATACTTGGGAAAATATTAACATTATAGAAAAATAGTTGTATTATTGTAGAACTTTCTGATTAAATGTTTCTCATCTGTCACTCAAAGTTTTGAAAACTAGAATTTAGTTTCTCATCTAGAGTTGTCACAATGTTTTTTAGCTAAGTAAAATTGGCTGAATTAAAGATATTATCCTTAAAATTGCATCCATATTATAAGAATCAGTGGAAGCATAATCATTTCACTTAATTTTGTTATACTTTAAAAATAGAATACATGACATATAATTTCTGTTAAGGAATAGTATGAATTCAAAGTCATTTGTGGGAGTAAAACTTTATTCATTTTTTCTTAATTTTCAAAAGAAATCCTAATCTCTAGACCACAATTTGAAAAATGCAGCCATGAAGCATGCTTACACTAGTTTTAGGTCTCAAAAGAAAGACAAAAGTAATCCCCCTAAAAAAAAGTGCCATTTAATCTCCAGTGACTGCACATTTTGTTATGTCTCCTCCACCTCAAATGACGTTGTGCCAGCATTTTAGGGAAAATGTCCAGTTTTATCCCTTTGGTCAAATGAATGTATTTTCTTCTCTAGAAGCCAATCTCACAACTTCAGGAGAACTTTAGACTTTTCACCACTGCCTCTAAAATATGACAAGGTCAAAGGAGTGTCAGAGTTCAACAGAAATGGTATGTGATGTTCAGAGTCTTCATAAATGCAATGTTTACCAAGTGGCTAGTTTTTTGCATTTTATGAAAGTTATGCCATGTACACAGTGACAAAACTTTGAGGTTAAAATAGCAAAATTCAATGTTAAGTGACAAGAAAATGTTACTAATATGCTTTACAGGGTAGAATGTAACATAATTTTACAGTGTACAATCATATTTTATATAATGTTTTGAACAGCAACTAATATGAATCAATGCATTACTAGCTAAGTTGTAACAAAAGAATACTCAAGTTGTATTTCTTATTTTTGCTTTCACTTAGTTCTATTCTTACATACTTTATTTCATTCTCTAATAATGTTTAATCAAGGTAGGGATCCCCTTCATCTTTTTTAGATGAGGAGACTGAGGCTTAACATGGTTAGGTATATTCACCTTATTCATTTATTCATGAAGTATCCTTATTTACTGACTTATGGATTTTCTGAGGTATTGATTACTTAACTACATGCAGGGTACAGTGTTAGGTGCTACAGAATCCTGACAGAATTCTAAATCTAGTAAACAGCAGTCCAAGAATTGTGAAAAGACAAATACTTTTCTCAGGTTCATGATTCTAAAATACCCTATATACTATGAAGACTAGGCTACGCTGAAATGTTCATTTAAAATATATGTGCTTAAATTGCAGTAGTTTTTAGAACCTAAGAAGAATCTAAGTATCCCACATAGCACTTTGATGAACTAACTTGAGCTCTTAGTGTGCTGACCAGCAGAGTGCACTGGTTTGTTCCTTGCTCTTGGAATTCTTTGGTCTTGTCATAGTTGTGCTGTTTGGGAACTCAGTTGAGCCCAACATAGTATTGCTTCAATAAAGGGGAAATGGGAAGGATCCTTTGCTGTCTTTTGACATATTGCTACACTTAAACAATCACTGTGGTCACTGGGATACAATAATAGGTCTGAATAATTCATTGAAAAGCAGAGTCTTTGGACAGGACAGGTTCCCTTTTGAATCCATATCTCTGGCATAATGTACATTAAAAGCACCAATGTAGAATTACAGGTCTACTGGGAAACTCACCAATGACTTACATTAAAATAATTTTTTAAAAATCTTGAATTAGGAAAGGTATTTTCTGTGAATAAAATAACTAAATTAACCCTTATTTCCTAGGTTGAGGAATTCTGACCACTGCAATGTTGTGATAACATACTTAACAAATAATACTGTGAAATGAAGCAAGAGGGGTTTTTTAGAAGGTATCAAAATAACTAATGTTTTAATATAGTATAGATTTTAATGTATCATAAAAGAAATGATGTGATCATATATTTTACTAAAGAGTTTAGTGGTGGGAGTAAAACTCAATTAAGGCCAGATTCATTAACATTTAATTTCATTTGGGCCTTTATTGCTTGTTAATGTATAGTCTCTTAACTTTCTCCTTCACTCTTACTCACAATTCTAGTGAGCCTTACATCTTTCACGGATGACAGTGCTTCTCTATGAAACTCCCACAGATGAATTTTTCATTTATGAAGAAATGTGCACTTTTTTTTTAGAGCTGACATCCCCTAATTTAAGAGAGCTAAGCTAGTTGAGAAGCAGATACTTGTCATTGTGAAAATGATTCCAAGTGATTTGAGATAATGGAAGGAAGATGCAATTTTAACATGTACCAGTAGTTTCATACACATAACATAAATAATGTCTACAGTTTTGAAATAGGCAAAATATCACTGGATCTAAGCCAGTCTAGGATTTTAGCACACCTGTAAGTAGTCTGGCATTTTATCTGAGGAACCTATTTCAAAGTTGGAAATAGTAGTATTTATTTGAGAAATAGAGTACTCTAACAACGTTTGGGTTGAAGTTATCAGAAGGCATGTATTACTCTATTACTTTAGTACTTCACTAGAGAAAACTTAATGTTCCAGTACTCCACAGGTAAATAAGAAGAACCGTGTATTATTTTTGACTATTATTAAAGCATATAATCCTTACATATAAGCATAAAAAATCCAAAGTTTAATATTACAAATATAGCCATGTAACCACAGTCTAAAATCTAACAAATGTTAAAGCTTCACCCTGATGATTTCAAAATTATTTTTAAATAAATAAGTGTTACAGATAAAGTTGAGAAGGTAACCTTCCCTTGGTACCTGTCCTCGATTCCACTCTTTCCTTCACACAAGTAACTATTACTGTGAGATTGATTGGTATCCATGTTGTAACACATCTATTAGTGTTACTTGTATCCATAAGTAACATTTGGATTGTCATATATGTGTACTGTGGATGGCAAGGACTCTCTAGAGAGAACAGGGTCTCTTTCAAAGTCTCATGATGAGGTGTCACGATATACTCATTCTAAAGATTGTTTATTCATCTTAGTGTTTTTGAGATCTGTAAGTTTATATATAAAAAGATATAAAGATAGGTCATTCTTTACATATTCTTCTAATTAATCTCATTTCCAATATACTTTTGTGATCTTCCATTTTATGTAAATGTAGAACAAATATATTATTACTAACCTTTAGATTTTTGCATTTATGACTTTTTCCTCTATTATTCCTGTCCTGTCTTCCATTGAATTTTTTGGTCTGATTTTGTTTTGATTTTTAGCATAAACAGATATTCCAGATTTATCCTTTTTTTTTTTTTTTTTTTTTTTTTTTTGAGATTGAGTCTCACTCTGAGGGCCTGGCTGGAGTGCAGTGGTGCTATCTCCATCACTGTAATCTCTGCCTCACTGGTTCAAGTGATTCTCCTGCCTCAGTCTCTCTAGTAAATGGTATTACAGGTGCATGTCACCATGCCTGGCTAATTTTTGTATTTTTAGTAGAGACAGGGTTTTACCATGTTGGCCCAGCTGATCTCTAACTCCTGACCTCAAATGATCCACCCAGCTCTGCCTCTCAAAGTGCTGAGATTACAGGAATCCAAGTATATACTTTTATTGATTACATTTAAACATTTTAATATAAACATATAAACAATAAAGTTGTGGATTAACGTAATTTTTACATGCATACTTAAAATGTACAACAGGGTTATCTTATTTTTTCCCATTTTCAAGATATTATTTTCAGTTTTATTATTCTTGATTTAATTGCTATCTATAATACCACTGTTGTTTTCTTTAGCACTAAATACTAAGATTTAATAAATTGTTTTAGCCATTTATTTGCTTACTATTGGTTTTTTCATTTATAACTTTTTCTCAGTTCTTTTTTGTTCCTTAGTAATATATTTTCTTTCAACTTTTTTTCAGTGAAAGTACATAAAAGGTAAGCATTCTTTTATTTCTGAAACCATTCAGCTTTCACATGTGAATGGTATTTATTTTGGTATGAATTTCTGGATTGACAACTATGTTTCCTAAACATTTTTGGAATATTATTACTTTGAATACCAGCTTCAAATGTTTTGCTGAAAACTGCAATGAAATTGGTTGTAATTTCTTTGAAGACAGTCTTTCTTTTCCTTTTATTTTTTCTTTTGGTACTTTTTTATAGGTACCCTAAAACTTTAGGTTCTGGGGTACATGTGCAGATCCTGCAGGATTGTTGCATAGGTACATACATGGCAAGGTGGTTTGCTGCCTTCATCCTCCCATCACCTATATCTAATATTTCTC